ATGACGGCCAGTCTTATGTTCATGTAATGAAGATGTTCTTTTCAACCAAGTGTGAAGGAACAGTAGTTAGTCATACCAGAATCAGTAACAGTAGATTAGATAATTAGCACAGTTTTTGTTTGTAAATAATCAAGATTTTTCATTTTTCTGTTTAAAGCTTTGTTTTTTGTGATATATTGTTGACAGTAATTACAGCAGAATATAGTTGATGTTTGGAAAAAACGAGAAGTTATAGGCTGGAGGATAAGTCACGCAGGTAAAAGCCGTCAAAAAACCGTAGCTACAATACCCAAACTGACTCTGGATTAAAATCTTCCGAAAATTAACTCGAGTTACTCCAACTTCTTATCTATCGACCACAACCTCCAAAAGAAGTTCAAACAAAAAATTATGCTTTGGAAAAAAGCATGTGAAAGAAAAAAGCGCTCTGTGGTGTTTTTTCGTTTTCGGCAAAAATGCAATTTCTCGCCGAAAAAAATTTTTTTCCCAAACGTGCTAAAGATGGTGGAACGTCTGATAAAGAAGTATGTGAAATATTTGCTTGTATAGCTAACAAATATTTCACATACTTCTTTATCAGACGTTCCACCACCTTTAGCACGTTTTTCATTCTCATCCTCACAAAACCTTTTTCAAAAACCTTTTTATGTGTGAACAAAAAAAACTTGTTTTTGTCACTTTCCTAAAAGTAACAAACTAACATCTGATGTTACTAATTACTAGTAACAAGTAACGAAGTTGTTACTTGTTACTAGTAACAGTAATGGTAAACAGCCAGCCCTAGATATGATACGTAAAATGGAAAAGTATGGAAAAGAAAAAAGATAAACGCGCGGATGTGTTCATTGTACCTATAAATTAAATCTTTTCTTATATGATTCTTCTGTATGGCAACATAATGTACGCAATCTTTATTTTTGTGGTTCTCATTTCAAACTGGCACGTGTAATACAAGATAATTCTTATTTTCTTAATGTGAGGTGCAGATCTTGTACTGCAACGAGTGCGGAGTGGCGTGCGTACTTTGGATACCTAATTTAAGTTCAAAACTCTTCTGTTTCGACAGGCTGAAGGAAGGCAAACTTATGGGCTGTGAGGTTTATCCATCCTATAGGAACTCGCTTTTTCTAGACTTTATCGTAATACGGCGCTGCGAAATTTGATCACATGATATTTTCGAAGGAAAGTCCAAGTAGAACAATGTAATAAGTCTGAAACGTGATATTCAAACGTTCAATACTGGAGAGTAAATTATGTGTAATCTTATGAGTAGCAAGTGGTTGGGTTTTCTGACAAATATCCATTTGAACGAAAACTGACATTTAATAACTCACGCATATGAACAATGTAAAAAATTGACTTTTAACCGACTAAAAGCTGTTAAAATTATTAAACATATTTTTGATCCCAGCAATTAAGCATACTTGATCCCTTTGCTCTTTTTCGCGAAAAGTTCATAAATGATCCCGGTTTTTCTAACATTTTTGAATACCAAGATTTTTATGTGGTGCGCCATTTTTAATTACAATTAATTATTGACTTTCTTAAGAAAGTCCGAATAAAAAAACATACCACGTTCATATCAAAATAAGCTGCACTTAAAAGATCCGCGGAAAAGTGCAAAATTCGAGCCCATTGAACCGCTTTGTCAATTTAACTTTGTCAACTTTAAATATTTCTCAAAAATATGCCATTCAAAAGAACGAAGGCTCTTCTGAGACTCATAATAATTTTTCTAAGGCTGACGTTTTGTTTTAAAGAGCAGTCAACAGTGTTTCGACAAGTCGGTTTACTACAAAAGTAAAAAACCAAGAGGTTATTTTGTGTTTTCTAGTATCAACACCATCCTTACAAATGCTTTTGACAATTCTGAATCCTTTAGCTTGATTTACCTGCACCTTTTCGGTCAATAAAAGCCCTCGATGGCACATTTAGGTCCTTAAATGTCCTGGGGTTTGAAACAATTCTGTGCATAATGACAACAGTCGCTTTCAATATCTCTTACCCCACCCCGTCCTTATATGTGTCTCTTCCAGTTCATCACGTTCATTTTTATTATCTGGTTATGGTGTTGCTAATACATATACATCAAGTAATATTGTTCGTCGTTGGATTTATATTTTTGAGAATTGTTTTCAAAAACAAATTCGTATTATTGGCTTTTCAACAGGTGTTATTCTATTTCTTAGTTTATTCTTACTTAGTCTTACTGTAAACAGAAATGACTGTGAGCTGTACTGACACGTTTTTTCTTTCTCTTACAAGATGCTGATAACAAATATATGAGAATAATGCGTTTAATGAGTGGATTCTTTGCATCTCTTCCAAACATGAAATTAAGTCAGCGACCTGTAGAAGTCCATATGAATACATATGACTCGATAGGAATGCATAGGAGCCCATAAGAATAGTTTGCTTTCTCCCGCTTGATTATACTTCGTTCAGAACCTTTTTAAAGAAATTTGGGTAACTTTTGCTACTTTTTGTATCGTACAAAGAATCGAAAATAGAAACTGACTTTTCTGTGCTTTTGCTGCTACTTATACATCGAATGGCATGAAACGCCGGCACTTTAGAGATTTATTTTATTGAGATAGCGGTTGCAAGAAAGGTCCAAAATTCGTACGAAGTATTACACTATCGTATTACTTTGGGTGCTAACTATAAAGTAAAAGAAGTTACAACACAAAACGCCAGTTTACTCTAAGTGTTCCTTCAACGGCGTCGATATTCACCTGCCTCCGATTTTGACGATGTCCACTTTAACGGTGTCCGCTTCAACGGTGTCCGCTTCAACGGTGTCCGCTTCGACGGCGTCCGCAGCAATGCCGCATACATTTGTTCCTCTTGCAATACGAACATAGCCATCTTCTCCCCAGCTAGTTCCCCAGCTATTTTTCACTTTCCAATAATTCAATTGCAGTACATCATCAAAACCATAGCCAACAAGTGTCACAGCATGATCTAACTGATTTGGGTCACAGTCTTGTGCCGACAAGTTAATAATTCCACTTGTATAGTACATGAACGCCGCTACGTTTGCATTAATAGACACGAAAACTGGTCCTCGAAGCACAGCTTGCAAGAGGGCAGCTTCATCATTCTCATTCACATGCGTGTAGCTGATATTAGGTCCGATTATTTGTCGGGGAACGGAGCTGTCTCGGCAATCTTGCGTCAATCCTACGTAAGGATAATCATCCCAAAGAGCTTGAGTTCCGTTGATTGAATTCAAATAGTCAACTGAAGGCTCGAATTGGCCGCCATTACAACCACCAGCTCCACTGTCTCAAAAGACAAAGAGAAAAAAAAGTTTAGCAAAACAACAGCTTTGAAGCTCCTCTAACTTCTGGGGCTTACGTATATCCATGCGCAAAATTTCTACAGAGAAAAAACTGATCTGAGGGGTTTTTAACGCCCTGAAACGCAGTTTTACTCACGGTGGCCGCGTTGGACCATAAATAATCGCATGGAAAGCGGTCCATCTTTCAAACCGTTGTTATAAGCTATTTTATTTGAAAAAGAAACATTTTGACATTTTTTCCCGTGCCACCGAAAGAGAGACATGTCTCATTATTATCGAGGGATAGAGAAACCAAGACCGTTCTCTTGTTCTAAACCACCCAGAGCTACATGTCTGCACAAGGTTTACCACATTATTGGAACAATAATAGCCACAGTTTGCAAGAGGAAAACTACTTAGAACTGTACCCTCGTGACCAGTGAGGTTTTATTTCTCAAAGCGCATATCTGAAGAAACTCATGCCTAATCGATTCTAAGTTTTCGTCACGCTGGATTCCGTCATGTTCTACTAGGGCTTTTCTTCGAGAACATGCCGCAATTAATTTTAAAACATTTTATCAACCCGACGATGCTTGCATCACGCCAGAATCTGCCTGCAAAGGAAAAGTCAATATTAACGTAGAATCAGAGAAAGTACACAGCAATTTCGGCACCCTGTTCGTCTACTGTACATAAATACCTTTTAGTATTCTTAGTCATAATGTGAACTATCTGATTTTGAATAAGCTGTGGAGTTTTATTTTCGAAAACATTTCTTGCTTAGAAAAACTAAGTCTCACTTCACAGTGTTTCTCAATTCTGATTCCACATATGGGTGACAATGATCTTAAATTAAAAGTGGGGAAGACTGACGTCTTTTAGTTTATTCACTTGTGAGGTATTTGTGAAGACATCAGCCTTTGAGGTATTTTCTTACTTCAGTTTGATTTTGAGACTGTGTTTAACTGAATCTATCTATATAGAAGGAGATATCTTATATTCTAGTCACAATAAGCGCAGTTCAAAAAGCCTCCGACTTGTAGCTCCAAAATGCTTCGCTTGTGTGTACATAACCAGAGTCACCTATGCTTCATTTAACACTACCGTGTAATTGTGGTTGAAAAACTTGTTTATAATTGGTGGGAATCGATCCGTGAGAAAAGAGGTGCGATGAATCATGGTTTGTTAAACTCTGCTGTTATGTACTAGTCTCTTTACATGCCCTTTCCAGAACAAAGTGCATTACTGCCTTCATCTATTCACATTCGAAGTCTTATAACTAACATTGTTATATAGAATACACGCACGNTAGCAGTCTAGCATCTTACAAAATAGTATGTGGTCCGCATACGGTGACTCATCCAATCATTTACAAATTTTCTGCAAAATTGCAAGTTTTGTTCTAAAACCAATTCATTCGGTGAGAATTACAAATTTAAACAGGATTGAAATAGGATTTCATTGCCTGTTGTCCGTTTTTTATGACCTGTTACAGTTACAAAGATATCTACTAATCTATAATTTCGCTTTCTACTCTGAAGACTAGTGACGTCTAAAATATTGAATCACGAATATCTTTCTACCTGTGATCATAAAAAACGAAACTGCAGTTGATTTTTGTTTAAATTTGTAAGTTTCATCAATTAAATAATAGAAGGTAATAGGAAAAGACGAAAAACTTTGTAAATAATTGGACTTTTTGCGACTGTCCACATATTAAAATGGCTGTGTGGTAGTGTCTATTTTTACTGATCGACTGACTTTACTGCCGAAATTTGATTGGTGCAACCATTCGATAGCCCAATCAAATTTGGCTAGTAAAGTCAGTCGGTCAGTAAAAATAGCCACCACCTTGTGTGTATGCGTGCGTCAAAATAGGGAGAAATGGTTGGCAGATTTCCACGGACAAAAAGAATCCCAGAAGGAAAAAATCGAAAATTGTTTTTCCACCACAAGAGAGAAAGGGCTGAAATATCTGCCGATGCAGAGAGAAAAAAACTAGTGGCGGAGCCAGGATTTCGGCCTAGAGGGAGCTCAGCTCCGCATCCATTGTCCAAAGTATCTGTAACAGTACAAGATTTTTTCAAAATTTCACTCACTCGAATATACCGTGAAATTTTCTAGAGGGAGCGCTGCTACCTCCAGCTCCCCCCTGGATCCGCCACTAAAAAAAGCTAAGCAAACTTTTCCCTGGAGTATGGAGAGAGGTGTCGCCGAAGATCAGTCACTTCTGATAACACAAAAGGGCATCTCCGGATAATAAAACTCACAGAATATAGACAGTCTATCACAACGAATCGATTAGAAATACTTCTAGTCCCCTTGGGATATTCAGAAGGTGACCAGGAAACTTTACAGCTTTATATTATATTGTGCACTTTTCCATGGAATCAGAGACGTTCACAACATTTCTGAGCTACATCCTGGCTGCGAACGCCGACCGAAGTGGGGCATGACCATTGTCTTGACTTTAGCAATACTTTTAGACCTTTCTCAAGTCTCGAGAAAATCTTTTAGATTTGCATTTGATTACGAACCTTACACATCAAATCAGAGAAAAATTCACAACATTTATATAATCTCTTTCCTGACGCCTTCCTTTGATTGGCGTCCGCTTTGTTTTGGACTCAAAGGTCATTATAGGTCGTTCGCAGATAAAAGTTCGTAAACTCAATGGACAGAGCCAGTGCAGATGAGCGTTACCTTATTTCTATACATCACGTTCGTAAAAACAACACCGATAGAAACACAAAGGAATATCATCGAATGTATAGCTACTAACGAGGATAGAAAAGGAGAGGAACGCATACGCTTATCTAACATCTGATACAGTCCGAATAGAGTACGCGCTTAAGAAATGTCCACAAGTCGTGACTTTCTCCAGTAAGATAGCCAAGAAAGTTATGCGCTTGAGAAAAAAGCTTTACTATGACTATATTTCTTTACGCCACTAAGAACTGCATCCGAAATAAGGGAAACGACAAGAATGGCATCTGGGAACCGTGCAGTCCAACGTTTTGTATTCGTGCTTGAGTATTATCAGTCAAAAAAGGAACCGCGTAGGACTATTTTTTGAATACTGAAAGAAGAAGACAAAAGGTTGCGGTTTTCATCATTGGAAGGAACACTAACCGATAAATTTCTAGCACGAATAGAATGTACATTATCGTGCGATCAAAGGAAAAAGTTCGCATTTTCTCAATAATTCTTTGAGGAATCCTCGTTCAACTTCCGGAACAAAACAAACATTGTCACGAACTTCGAGAGGGTCGATAAACTATGTTTCCACCTCTTCTGGGCTGATAGACAGGCCTTCGTGAACTTCTGTACCGCCTGAATCGTAGACCTGGGACTTACATATAGTTTTAGAGACGGTCTGAGCTATCAAACGGCTATTTTGAACCCAAAACCCGGTATTCCTTCAAGCAACAACGATCAAGTCTTCCCAAAACGAGTAAACTGTACCAGCGACAGAAATTAATTTTAACATCAAAAAATAAAGTTTCATCTTTTCATTGTGCTTTGTTCTTTACGTTCAAATGTTATTCGATAAATAGTCACGAACCATTCTATTTTTAAACAAATAAATATTGAAAATCAACAGGATAACTGATGCTATGATAAATACGCCGTGTTATATTCGGGAGCTTGTTTGTTTCTATTTCTTGGCATTTTCAACGAAGCTTACAGTGCATATCATAAGGATATTAGTAATCGGAGAAGCAGGACAACTTGAAAGAGGTTTACCGCATTTATCTGCTACTCTTATTTTCATTTAGAATTATAGACTGGTAGCTTCACAAAAGAAAGTTCTTTCTGACCTTACCTGGTCCAAAAAATCGTAGTTCACTTTCTAGTGAACAATCATTTATTTCTTGTGGACTTAAATTCAACAACAACCCCGTTTTCTTTGCAACTAGTCCTTCCATAACTGCCGTGGTAGCAAATGCATAACAATCACCGCATTGCAACTGATCTTTTACTGACGATACACGACCTTCTGCCACCCAATCTAATGAAGTCGGAATAGTAACATCTTCCTGCCCAGGTGTAACATCTTCCTGCCAAGGTGTAATATCTTCCTGCCAAGGTGTAACATCTTCCTGCCAAGGTGTGACATCTTCCTGCCAAGGTGTGACATCTTCCTGCGAAGGTGTAACATCTATCTGCAATTGTTTCTCGGCGCCTGAACGGCGCTTTCGAGTATAATTTTTAGGGTGGGGTATATAACCTAAAAAGAGAACCAAAGAGAAAAATAGAACGTTATTTTAAGTAGAAAACCCAAGAGTCTTGGACCACTGACCTTTTTTCTGTTTATTAAATTCTTGTTCAGTCAAATCTGATAAATGATTTAATTCCAACTTATATGACAGGTTTTGCGAATTAACATTTAAAACATGTGCCACAGACTGACTGAAAATCTGTCGTCGATGATCTTCTTCACTTGAATTATAATAACGGCGCCCATGTTGCTCTTTAAATTTGTCGAAAACAACTTTTATAATAGTTTTATTTTTATGAATGTGTTCTGGGCGTGTTGACGAGCTTTTACCCAACTCTAACGCATAGTCTTCGAGGGACTGGGGAGTGAGTCGTTTAGTTCGGTCAACATGAACGTTTGAATGTTCGCCACTTCCGATGGAATCCCCCAAGGAATTAACCTGGTAAGCGCTGATAAAAAGAATTAGACCAGCAAGGAAACAAAAAAATGCTGTCATCTAAAATACATAAAAGGTCATCGATCCAAAAAGAAAAAACATTCAACCTGACGTGGTAAGACCACATCTAACGGTTAAACAAGGAAAGAATAATACATTCAGTTTATCGAACCAAAGAACACGAAATATTTTTTAAGAAACAACAACAGCCAACAACCGTATGATTATAGAGACAACAGTGTTTTCTTCAAGAATTCTTTCTTTCCAACTGCTATTAAAGAGTCGACCGAGCTACTTTCACAAAGACCTCACTTTCAAAATAAATTGAAACCTCATAAATTCCGCATGCCCATGTCCTGCAGAAAGTTTATATCTGCACAAGATCTGTCAAGTTTCTTGATCTCAAAGAATGTTCAACAATTCTTGTCAAGATCTTGTCAAGTCTTTTTGGAGGAATTTGCCTGCAAACATCTGAATCAAGATCTTGACAAGATATGAAAACTTTTCTGTAATTAACAAAATCTTTGCTAACAAAAAAAGTTATCAATTATTTTGATTACGACATGACTCAGAGGTTCGACAAAAATGTAAATATG